TGCATATGTTGTGTAATATGATTGAAATCCCATGCAAATGTATTCATATGCAATTCTAATTACACTTCGAGTATCTATCTATCTATCTATCTGCGGCCAACGTTTTTGCAAATGGGTGTATATATATAAATATATATATATATATATATATATATATATATATATATAATATATATATATATACCGCAGATAGATAGATAGATACTCGAAATCTAATTAGAATTGCATATGTTGTGTAATATTATAGAAATCCCATGCAAATGTAATCATATGCAATTCTAATTAGACTTCTGCGGCCAATGTTTTTACAAATGGGTGTATATATATATATATATATATATATATATATATATATATATATATATATATATATATATATATAACGTTTTAAGAAGGCTATTTACACATAAAAACTACAAATTTGTTTCGAAACCACTCCAAAGTGAGTGCTCTCTCATCAGGTCTGATGGAGTGGTTTCGAAACAAATTTGTAGTACTATAGTTTTTATGTGTAAATAACCTTCTTAAACGTTGTATATAGCTCCTTTTGTTGAGCACTTTTATGACAAAGGAAACCACTTACCAATATAATATTATATATATATATATACTTGGACAATAGTAAATTTCGTGTTCAGTTTATTGCATGTAGAAGGATTTCAGGATAAAATGATTTTGTAAACTCAACATTGATTTGTGGGTGGGGGTCTATTGAGTGCAGCAAAGACAGGAAAAAGCAAGTGTCTCAACGAGTGAGCGCTCTTGAGCCTTAATAGCGGCTTGAACATTAAGTAAATAATAAATATGTTTTAATAAAATATTAAGTATATAGACATTGAACGACAATCAGTGAATGTTCTCGAGTGATCCCTCATCCCATGAGCAGTCGCAAAAGTGTATTGATAATTGAGCTTTATCATTAATGTACATCGGCATAATAATTTATTCAACAAAATTATAGGGAATAGTTGTATGGAAAATTGACAAATGAAGCGTTGCGCAGAACGAGGGACTGTATACTATAGCGAAGCCTGATGACTTTGCCCGGTTACATGTGCTAGCATTATTATTAGCTTGTATTAATTTTGATGTTTGCTGACTGTATAATAACAGTTAATTTACTAAGAGATGAATAATTATAAGTATAAGAAAACTTGCGCGTCTGTACGGGGCTTTACTCTGTAATTGTAGCCCAAAACTATTTTAATTATGTCCAGTTTCATATTGTGGTCTGCAGAAAAGCATACAAAAGATTTTCGATGCCGCGACGCGTTCTCTGACCGCAGTCGGAAAAGACGTATTGAACTTTAGGTATCTAAGGTGACTGTAATGAATGGAGATGGCAAGCGTTTGAAAGCGTTCAATACTTCAGACGTCGCCGCTTGACCGACCGCAGACGGGAAAATCATCTTGACTTTCGGTATCGGGGATACCTAACACTTAAAATTCATCAACAACTTTTGCACGACATAATTTATATCAAATGAATGTTTCTCATTTAGACTAATTAATGGTTTACCTTTTATACTCATAAGTTCTTCTGAGTCTTCTGTCCAGATAAAATGCGCATACATGCATATATATGAAATCTGAAATACCTTGGCCATGCACATGCAGCTACGTAAGCTTATACAGTATTTCCGTTGCCGTTGATAATGGTGACCTTCCTTTTTCTCCTATATTGCCTAATCATACCCGAAAGCTTTGAGGTATTAAATTTTGCTGTAACAATTTACGTTGCGTGTCAACAAACCAAAAGAAATATATCTGTCTATATAGCGGATAGTTGTATGGAAAATTGACAAATATGAAGGGTTGCGAAGAGCGCGGGTCTGTGAGGACGGGTGATTTTGCCGCATTACATACGCTAGCATAATTATTAGCTTGTATTAATTTTTATGTTTGACGATTGTAATAACAATTAATTTATCAAGCGATGAATAATTATAAGTCAATGAAATTTCAAAGCGGGATGGTATATATCGTTGATCAGAACTGATTTTCCCTACTAGCTATATTCATTTGGCAGGTAAGGCCTAGGTTATAGGCGCATTTGGTCGTGTCGAATGAAATTCAAACAATAGATAATGAGATGAAAATATATCTTAATGAGGTTTATCATCTCACCCAAGGTTATACGTTGCATTTTGGTCGCGTCGAATGCAACTCGAATAATAGACTATTGTAAAATTTACTGTAATTTTAATGTAAAAACTTACAGTAAAATTCTGTCTTCATTCCCCGTAGCAAAACCTTTTAAAAATATTTTTTAACGAAAAATCAAGTTTGGAGAATATTTGCTATTATAGTGAAGACAGGAAAACCTACAAAAGAATTTGGACGCCAGACCCTCTAACCGCATTCGGAAAAGACAAATGGACCACCAACATAGATTTGGTGACAGTTGTAGAGCTGACAGTTCATATTAATATACATAATAAAGTCGCATGTATCCGACAAATAGATAACCTCATTATAATCATGTGGTCGGATACATCGACTATATATATTTGGGTGAAAACAGTCTAAAATCATTCGTTTATTGAAGTTTCTCAGTGGAGTATCGAAATTTTTACCGTAAGGAAACTACAGATTGAGGTAAGCTGTTTAATTGCATGTATCAAATAAGAAAACGTACACGATTTTTAGCTCTTTAACTGCATGTTTTCAAATTTTTTATAACTTGTTAATCAGTAAACGTTGTTGTAATGACGTTCAAGAGTAACTATTAAAAATTGTGAGGACTATTTTATTTATATATTTATTGTTTTATATTATATATAAAACACTTCGACTTTATCCTTTATCATATTTAGCAAAAATGAATTTTCGTCTGGGATTTTGTCTGATGCTGGTTCTCTTTGTGACTGCTTTCAGTGATGTTGAGTGTAGAAAACAAGGTAACATCGTTGATTTTTGTTTTAGCATATAATAATTACTTTTTTTTCTTTACTGTATGCTTCATCCTTTTTTAATTCTACATATTCTGGACTACAGTGATTTAGGTATTGGCGAACCACACAGCTATACTGCATGTTCAATTTATATTAATTACGTTTTATCCTTTCGCGTTGGAAAAATACCAGAAATCCATGGGGCGTGGAAAAGTGAGATCATTAAAGAGAGTGAAAGTTAACTATCATTAAATGCAGTGTTTCATGTACTCTACTTGCAAGCACTAGGAAATATATCATTGTGCGCAAAGAAATAGAACCATGCAGCTTTCCACGCAGTATTATAGTAAAAATCGTATTGTTGTTGATGAAAATGTCTGCATAACTTCCCGTTTAGCGGTAGAAAAGGTCGATATACGATCGTTATTCACGATTTATCCGAGGGGATAATTTAAAAGGTCAAAGAAGAAGTAACTACACCTTTTCCGTCGCTCTCCAGACGCATTTGATTATATCATTCCTACTTAATTTTTAAGGGCTTTTCTTCTGAATATAGGGTGATTTTAATTTTGGGTAATGTGATATTACACCGTATATAGGTGCTAACCGTATGAACCAGGAATTACCACATTGCCCCGTACAATGTGTTCCTGATCATCTCCCCTGTCCAGAGGTACCAGGCTATTCATGTGAGGAAAATACTAAGTGCTGCTAATATAACGTAAGTATTTAAGTTTCTTTAAAGAGCCAAATAATAATAATTTCACGTTCCAGCTTTTTAAAGTGGAAGTCAAGTCAAGGATTTGTTTTCATTTTAAATTTCGGTATTTTTCAAACTACGATGCGCTGTCTGAATATCTAAAGCGGTTTTCCACTTGGCGGGATTTTTCAACCAAACGAAATTTTTCGCTCGATTTTCTTTTCAATTGTGAGAAATCGACCGTGACGGATATGCCTTTGACCGGTCACAATTGAAAAGAAAATCGAGCGAAATATTTCGTCGGAAAACCGATTTAACATGCACTAATTAAGCAATCTTGGACAATTCTTACGTCAGGCCCTCACATTGCTAGCTAACTCAGAGTGTTTGACAATGCTTTGTCAAATAAAACTTATAAATATAATATGAAAATACGGTATCAATAAAATATATTTGATGTTCAACAAAATCAAAATAATTTATGCTGCCATGGGATTGCAATTATTTGTAAGAAACCGAAGCCGGTTTTGAATTTTTAAACCTAGTTATGCCCTTCACCAAGAGATGAAATGATACTTGCAGCTGCAATGTTTTATTTCATCAGAACGATTAAAATGCACCAAATTTTAAGAAATGCTACCCAAAACTATTTATTCGATGCTCCTTTTCTATATCGATCGCCTTGGCCGCCGTGCCAATAGTCTGAAGTCAAAATATTTTCCAAGCAATTTTGATCTTACCATTTTGCCTTCATATACGAAAGAAAATACAGTTTAGGATATAATGAAAAATTTGGTTGCAATAATTGCTCTTCCTAATTCTTTGTACTCTTGCTTTTTTTAGTGGCTAGTCGCAACTGAAGCAGACGACAGTTAGTAGACTCAAAGCATAAAAAAGGGAAAATAAAAGTAGAATGAAAAATGGTTAAATAAAATATTTTGTTTAACAAAACGTTTGTTGTGATCATTGTCATGCATTAAAAACTATTTTGCCTGAGCTTCGATGTATATATAAATTCAATCAACACGCGTAAAACACACGCGGATGCCAGAAATGCAGGCATTGGTGTTATGCTAAGGTGATTGATCTTGCATGACGTGTTTGATATGAGTTGTACACGTCTTTGATATGAGTTTTACACGTCTTTGATATGAGTTGTAGCTATGTATACGTCTTTGATAACTTATGTGTTGAATACGTCTTTGATATGAGTTGTGCAGTATACGTCTTTGATATGTGTTGTACACGTCGTTGATGATGAGTTGCATAGCTATATGCGTTTTTAATATTATGTGTTATATACGTCTTTGATATGAGTTGTATACGTCTTTAATTGATATGTGTTGTATACCTCCATCGCTGTAGAAGATTGAGGGGCGCTTGGGGCAGAGCCCCCCTTCTTCAATGCTTCTACTTTAAGAATTTAATAATTTATTACGCAAACTATTACAGAAAACGTGGCTACTTTTTATTAAGTAGAATCAAAATGAAATCCTTAATAAATCGATATATTTTTGCGCTCCTATATGTTCATCTTAGCTAGGTTCAAGTACTTCCATGCAGTGCGGGTCTTGCGCATACAAGCGTAAAAACGCACAAGTTGTAACAAGTCTGCAGCAGAGTTGCTACAAATCTGTTCACAAGCTTGCATGCGAAAAAGATTTGTTCGCACCGCCTGCTCCAGTTTGTTTTAAGAAGTTGGGACAAGCTTTTAACCGAAATTCTAGCAAGTCAGATGGCATTATCATGCAGACATGTTACAAGATTGTTCTGACAAGTCTTATACGATATGATACAACAACATTGCTATGAACTTGACAGCAAAAGAATGTAGCAATATTGTCACATCATGTTTGTACCTGACTTGTTGGATGCAGCCTGATAGCAAGTATTATCATTGATTCAACAAGTTTGTTACAACTTACCTCTTGTCCAATAGGAAAGCGGAATTTTTACACTAGGTATATAACAATATGAGTTGTATACGTCTTTGATATGAGTTGTAGCTATACGTCTTTGAAATGTGTTGTAGCTATACGTCTTTGATATGAGTTGTTTATGCGTGGCTTATTAATTGAAAGGATAATATTTTCATTGATTATAAATTCTCTTAATTCGCTACGCTGTTCGCGGTATATTATTCAATTTTATATATATTTGCATGGTGAGTTGAGCATGGTTTTAAAAGATCGAGGTAATTCAATATTTAGCTGCATTCACTCACTGATATATAGCCTACATGCATGCATGCAGTACAGTATTTACATTAATTTTGTTGAGTCGTGCTTATTCCAAGACAATATTTTTTATGTGTAGGCTAGTGATTGTAACCTTTCATCGATAAAAGGCAAAATTTTCCACGTAAATTTTGTTTTTTCCAAGTGGTTTTTGAATGCGGCAGTTATATGATAGCTTTATTACTTGGAATTTATTAGTATTTTAGCAAAGTGGACATTAAAATTACTCAATTCCATATTGCAATTGAAGGGCAGAAAGAGCTGTCGTATTGCTGTAATGAACAACCAACACACACTATACTCAATTTTTTCGTGCGTACGGCATTGTTAAAATCCATGCTCAGCTTAAAATTGAATAAATTAAGGTACGAATTTTATCTGTGCTGTGCCAATAAATTGTATGTAGTGGCTAAAATATATAACGTTATAATTTTATAGGAAAATACTATACTAACTATGCTATAGTACAAATACCTGTAATATTAAGTAACAGCAGAAACAAAATACGAAAAATTTTCTACAAGATGAATTATGCGACTTGCTATTAAAAATTTTGGATGTTTATCGACCGAAATATACAAATATTTCTATAAAGTATGAGGGCGTGTGCGGAAGATAAATATTAAAGCCCAACACAGTGCTTTAGTAAAGCCATGATAAAGCCATTAAATACGTAGACTAATATATTTACAAGGTGTCAATTTATCGCAAGCACAACGTAAGGTCAATATAAGTTATCATTGGTCTACATATTCAAATTTGCATCGAATTTATCACATATGCTGAAGATATCGTAAGTTAAGACCACACGTCACTGTCAAATATATTCTTATTACTTGTTGAAATTGTCTTTACTGCTTTTAGTGCATTATTCTGGGCTTTAATATTTACCTCCAGAAACGCCTCTCTGGCAAAAATATTGAATGCATCACTGTGTAAATACATTGCAATAAAAACTGGCTTATAATCTCAATTTCAATTTTTCAAACAATCAATTTCATAAGAAACTAATGATGCGTCAGTAGCCTTAAACTAGAATTGAATTAAGATACACTATATGACCCCGAAATATACCACCCGGGTCCTCATAAAACTATTTACCAGTTTTACTCGCGCGTACCACGAACACGCAATAAACACGCAACTAGACCCATACCCCTCACGGTCACCTACCTCTCGTCCATCCTCTTTAGCCATAACCATGATCAGCGGTAGCCATGACTATATGCAAAAATAATCTTACTATCGCTAGAAAATTGATAGATTTATACCTATTGCTATATTCTTGCTATAACTCTTTTACTACATCATAATATATTTTTTTTGTCCTAGTCAAATTTTTATGTAAAACTTCTCAGATAATTTTTCCCGCTGTTATCAATTTCTTGCCTTATGTATAGTCGAGAAATAAATGGATAGACACTCTATGGGCGCCCGGCGGCAAGGGGCGGATCTAGGGGTTGTCAGAGAGTCACGCGACTAAATCAAAAATTACACAAGTCCAGGTCGAAAAATCTAAATTTCAGTCAGCGAAAATAGTCCAGTTCAAAGTTATTAAGCCTCATGCAGTTGCTGGTCACTGACTTTTGAGCCCTCGGCAAATGAGTCATAAAAGCGGATACCCGCTTGAATTTTGCCTCATCGACTTCTGATTCTGGGCATTTGATTGGCTTAGAAGGAGTTTGATTCATCTTTGCGGGGTCTGACTCATCTGCGCAATTTAAGCGTTTCCGATTGGCTGGTCTCCGGCTACTGGTTCTTCATTGGCTGGCCTTATCTTTGCGGGGGTCTGACTCCTTCGCCAAATTTAAGCTCTCCGATTGGCTGGTGAAAGAAAAATATTGATTTCTTATTGGTTTGCTCTATTTGACTTAAAGGAAAGATATATCCTTCTCAAGTAAATAAGGAATATTGAAAAATTTCTGGATGTTTGACAGCGGATATTTTAAAAAATCTGTCTAATGCTCGATCTCGCCGTTTATACGAATTCATATTTTTCTTTTACAAAATGGCATTTCATTGTAATGATTTGAGGTTCCTGCAAGGCCCAATACAGATCTTTGTTAGGAAGTTCACGCTACAAATAGCGAATATGTCGAATAGCTTTCAGTTTTCGTCTTGTCGAGTAATATGGATAACTCCGTTACCTCGCGTGCGCTCGTCAAAATGAGAAATCTACCGAGATAAGGTAAAGATTCATGTCGATCAAGTATACCAAGATTTACTGTATGAATTTACGTCTAACAAACAGCCAATGCATAATACTAGATCTAGGCGCGTAAAGAAGATTCATATATTTGTAAAATCATGTAATCCATGTCTATGTCAAACAGTACAACGTAAATCGTAATCATGATTACTCATCAAACCAGTATGGCAATTATATATAGCGTTATAAACAATATTGCCCAACTGTGATATTTATAGTGAAGTGTAAGCGGCATTAAGCACATAATATTTGGCATGTAGCATAGCTTGGAGCAATACTAGCTTATATGCTGTAACAGTTATGAATATTTTCAGTCTTACAAATTGACCGCATTCATGTTTTTATTCCATGCCTATAGGTGTAATTTCCTATTATTGCCCGTCATTTCGACATACATGTTTCAGCTATTAAAACTGATTCAGTAAGCATTTTTAATGCATACTTTTCGCGTATATTTTTTGTATAAATTTCGCGTCAGATGATAAGTTAATAATTTTTGAAATGGGCGGCGTTGCAAGCACGCTCGGCGAACGTAACACCGCAGAAATTGGTGTTTATGAAGTTTCAACCCGAAAATCTGATCACTGGTTCACATCGTGTATTGTTGTATGCTGTCAAAGAGAAAACTATTGAATAACTTTAAAAGTTCGGTTTTTCTTCCAAATACGCATTCTGCAATCTTTTGACAGCTCATCATACACATCTGACAGCTGTGAAATGGCCATTTTGAGGCTTAAAGTATACACAAGATTATTAATTCAGATGATTCGTTTTAGCCGTGTGCAAACTTTAAATCTTTTGTGCAAGACATATTTTGTGTAGTATTTATAAATCTTTTTTCTCACCAAGTTTGAAGCCTAAGTATTGAGAATTGCGGCTAAGTATTTTTCAATTTTACCAATTTCCGCGGTGTCGGCGAACGTGCTTATCGACGTGATGGAGCTATATATGCTCCTTTGATGTAAACATCCGTCTTCATTGCTCTACTCGGCCATCATATCATTAAAACTACAATACATAGTAAAACAGAATCGGTAGCTACACTAGCTCTCAGTCACAGAAGAACCGCACATTATTTTGCCGGCCTTTTGCATTGCTAGCCCATGCATGCGATTTCGGTTGAGACGTTTTTTTCATTTATCGCAATGACCAAATTGCAAGCTCGTTGCTGAGGCTTTCGTACGTGTACAGGTGTGCATTTTAATTAAACGAAAGCATGCACCGCTAGCTTCGGTAAAGTTAAGGTTTAAAAGAATACATAAGATTTCTGCTGCAGCCATTATCGTCAAGTTTTATTTACAGAGTGTTGTAACCCAGATATTATCGACCACACATCGCACAATAGGCAGTTCCCTTTTAACCCAATTGCAAGAGAAAGCATTCATTACGTAATCGCTCACGAACTTGTAAAAATAAAATTACATAGTCAACTTTCCCGCTTATATTGACCAATAATTTTTTACACGACGAATAATCTACGTGTCTCATA